TACTCCATTTATAGCTATTATAAAATATTGGCTATATTCCCTATTATGTACTATATATCCTAGTAGCTTATTTATTTTATACATAGTAGTTTGTATCTCTTAATCCCCTACCTCTATCTTGCCCCTTCCTCCTCCCTCTCCCCACTGGTAACCACTAGTTTATTCTCTCTGTGAATCTGTTTCATTATATTCACTAGCTTGTCTTATTTTTTAGATTCCACATATAAGTGGTATCATACAGTATTTATCTTCTTCTATCTGACTTATTTCACTTAGCATAATACCCTCCAAGTCCATCCAAGCTGTTGCAAATGGCCGAATTTCATTTCTTTTTATAGGTGAGTAATATTCCATTGTATATAAACAGGTGCAGACCCTAGACTCTCCAAAACATCAACAGGTACAAAGCTAAGACAGACACTGTTGTCTATAAATATCACTCTTCTTATCCATTCATCTGTTGATGGACACTTAGGTTGCTTCCATATCTTGGTGATTCTAAATAATGCTGCTATGAACACTGAGGTGCACGTATCTTTTCAAATTAGTGTTTTCCTTTTTTTTTTTTAAGATATATACCCAGGAGTGCAAGGGCTGGGTCACATGGTAGTTCTATTTTTAATTTCTTGAGAAACCTCCATACTGCTTCCCACAGTGGCTGCACCAATTCACATCCCCACCAACAGTGCACGAGGGTTCTCTTCTCTCCACATCCTCATCAACATTCGTTATTTGTGCATCAATATGATGGTTATTGTGCACATGCTGAAACTGAGAAAATGAAGCCCCAGAAAAGTTGATTCCTAACATCATAGCGCAAGACGCTGAACTGAATTCTGACTCAAAAACCTGAGTTCTTTCATATTCTCATCATGCATCAGATAATATCACACCTGGTTCTCTGACTATGATAAGACAAAGGTCAACCATGTAGATAAAGATTTTTATACAAGAGCTGTGAAGGTGATTTTTAAACCTTGTTCCTAGGCAAATCCAAAGAAATAACTTTTATTTACACTGTAGGGGAATTAGTTTTATCACGTGCCTTAAAAGGGCAGGTCTGAACTATGCTCCTACCCAATATCCATGAACTCGATGTGCAAGTTCAGAGGCAAGTATTTCTCAAATAAGTGAGAACCAGTACTTTTTCAAAAATAAAGTAGAAAATAAATGTCAGTAGTGTTGAATTATTCAAAACTGAAAAATGAAATAGATGATGAATGTTATGAAGTGATCATATACTCTCAAGGTATAGTTTGCCAAATAAAGGGCACACCTGGACAACATTTAAGCATTTTGCTGGTTACATTATAAATGACATGAAATAGTAAAGTCACAGAAAACGTTGGAATGGCCACCACTCTCCTACTGGAGCTCTGAGTAGAAAAGTCAGCCAAGTGCTTTCACTGAGTAGAAGGTATATAAATTAATGAAATTTGGAAATGGATTTACTTAAGTCATTAATAAAATTTTGCTTTTGAACTATAGGAAGATCACGTATCTAAGTTGCTGCACGTTTTGAAAAGTTGGTCCCAGGACCAAGCCCATTCTATCTAGTGCAGCCCTCTACCGAGGTGCACTACAGAGCACGCATGAGACTGAAACTCCAGACTCCCTACTTACAAGCCTTGGGACTCTGGGCTAAAAGTTTCAGCCTCCAATCAAATCATTCAAGGTGGTAAGGATTCCATGTCGCAGGTAGGGGAACTGAACAGTTTAAATGACTTCCCTACAGTCTGTGGTCAAAGACAGAACAGCAAGCTGAGTTTAGGTTCTCTGTTGAATCATGCCGCTTCTTTCAACTCTTTGAAAACTGTCCCCCCAAAAATAAATCTGATGCATATACATTCTTGTATATGGTGACAGAATGAATCCCTTCTCCTGCATACTCAAAGCATGAAATCTTTTTTATTCTAGAAAGGCATTTTGAAGAAGTTCTGAAACGTCTGACTTCTCCATGACCTATAAGTGGAGAAAGAAAATCTAACAGGCAGTGAAGGCTGCCAGTGGAAACCCACAGCAAGAAATAAGCAAGGAAATCACAGCTCACCCCATTACCTTCCACCAGTCCTGTGACAAGAGACGTGACTTTGAGGAACAAAACGGGTAGAGATGACTTTCAGTGAGTGCCCACGAGGACAGCCAAGCTGGGTTATTGTTTCATGAACTGTGTCTGTTCTGACTGGTTGGTGTTGCTAACCCATCTGGTTATTTCCTACGTCTCCCAGAGAACAGGGGTTAACTAAGGCATAAAGGAGCCAGGCAGGGGAAATGGAGTGGGGACAGTGACAACCTGGGGAGCACGTGTCCTGGTTGAAGTGACATCTGCTACGTAATCTCAGCAGGGTAAAGTCACACACGTAAATAAGCCCACTATTGCCAGAGTGTTTTTTTAGAAGCAGCTAGAAATTTCTCCATATTTTCAACTATTTACTCCTAATTCAATCTTTAGAATGCTGTGTCTGCCAACAAAACACTTCTCGAGGTCGGATGGGGAATAAGAGTTGCCAGTTTCCCATTGCAAGCCGTCAGTCTGTGCCTGCGGGACGAGCTCCCCACTACAGCCGAGAATATAGACTGGTGCACTGCCCCGCCCTGGTGGCAGCAGTGTGCCACGACCACAGGGTTTCAGCAATTAGGTATCAATCATAAATATGGGATAAATTTTTTATTAGCTTACTAACAGCATTAAAAGAACATAATCATTTCAGAGATAAAGGATACTTAAGGTATAATCTGGAGATGTTTTTAACCGTTACTATTGCCAGTTACACCTTGGACTAACTTTTGTTTTAAACGAAGATCATGATCGAAATATACATTTTTCCCTTCCATTTACTCCTCTTTTTCCCTTTTTCAACCTGTTCCCAGTTAGAGATGTGAGATTATAGGACTTTGTGGACATGAAAATGCATGAAATTATGTAATATGCCTAGAAAAATGTCCAGCACAATAAAGAACCCCAAGATTCTAAGCCTGTGGTTGCTGTGAATATTATTTAGCTGTCAAAGTGCTCACAGGGCTGGTCTACACCTTGGTGAAGGTAGTTGTTAACCCTCCCAGCTGAGCTGTGACAGAAAACTCCTGCTCACAGAATCACTCCTGCGCCACCCTCTTTAGCAATCTGCTTCTTAAATTAAT